GCGCACAAGAAATGGAGAGATTGTAGGTAAACTGGAAATGTTATCACAAGCAGGTGAAACAACTTGTTCTTTGAATAAATACCAGAATATGGAGGATCATTAGTAGAGCAACTGCACCACAAACTCCACACGTGGAGAGAAGCCAAAAAGAAATCACGTACTTGGCTGCATTCTTTCCAGCATTAGCCGTTTTCCCGCCTTCTGTCTCCACAAAGAGTGGAAGTGCAGCTGGAATTTCCGGAGGAACGCGGCTGCAGAAACACTAGGTCAGCAAAACCTGCAGGTTTCCCAAAGACAAACTTCACACCCACCTCTGGATCGTGACCCTTGCCGTGTGTGGTGAGTCCGCAGCTGCAACAGCGTGTCACATTCTCCGCAAAAAACGCACGGGGACGGGGCTGAAGGGTGCTCGGGTGCCCTATATATTTCGTCCGCGCTGCCGCACGCCTAGCCGTTTCTTGTCCGCGCTTCTCACTTCTCGCGACACATTTAGCGTTCTCAACCGCTGAATGTGTGTGTCGCTGTAGGACCTTGTATCGACGCAAGTCCTGCACATTGAGGATAGCGCGGGGCGTGGAACGGCATTCGGGCTCCATCACCCTACAGCCCTCTTCCCGTGCACTTTTGAGCGGAGAAAGTGGCACGCTACCATAGCTGCAGACCCGTATACCTTGCATGGAAAGGGAAGTCTAAGGCGAATGTACAGCTTGCCTTTGACCAGCTTACCAATTGGTTTTCACATCATGTTTGATGCCTAGACGTTCTGCAAACAGAAGAGCGAGATCCAACGGCTTCCCGCAGTCACCTCCAAGCACCTGCAGATTCAATCTTCAGCCGAAAACGCTTGAAAATGCGAGTGGAGCTCCTACCATATGTCCATGTCCATATGGTATATCTCAAGGGGTTTTGCAATAAACAGCTTTACCTGACAATTCGCAGGATTTAGCAACAGGATCCCTCTCCGAAGGAGAACCCTAGCCGTTAAAAGTATCTGAAATTGCATGGAATCATCGAAAAAGTATCGAATTCGAAAGAGACTAACACACCTTTGTTCCCGGCAGTGCATTTTCGTCCAAAGCTAACTGAAACAGAATAATGCTGTCTGTCCACATCATCCAAAAATATTTAGGGGTAAACCCACTTTGCCGCCAAATTCGATGGCATGCACCACGTTCTGACCATCGGAGAGTCTCATTTTCAGCAGCCTGCGGGGTCCTGAGCTTCGTATCCGCTGATCGCTACCCTGGTAAACATCACCATATGTACTCTGCTCAGTTTGTGTATGTGCTATTTATTCATTTCCGAAATTTGTGAATTACAACTCCCCACCTCCAGAAACGACTCTCTTCCCGGTTGTTTCTTACTCTGAAACTCTTGCTAAAGATCCTACAGCGATAGTGTGCGCGGCGGCTATTGCGTGACAATATCAGCGCCGTTCGTTCACCTCCATCTAGCATTTCCGCGCTTTGAACCACAGTCAGATTTAATCGCTACTGAATGATAGAAGAGTCGAAAAAGAAATTGTCTGCCAAGAGCCATGAGTCGGACACGAGTAATTCACAGCCAGATGAGCGGTGCAGATGCGTGTCAGACTCTATCACTACTAATTAACATAAGGCAAATATAGGTTGAATTTCCGTCTTCTGCACCTTTGCTCCGACTATTGATGAATAGCGCGTTGTAACACTTGAATAAGCAAGAATTAAAATATAGTCTTAGAGTATCACCTACAAATCTGGAACATGTCTCACCGATGGCTGTGACTCAACTCGTCCATCATCCTCGCCATGGAACCATGACAGATCATCCGCATTCTCAGTACATTCACAGTACTGTTCATAACAGGAACGAGTGGTGTTGATGACAAACACAACCTAAAAGAGGGTATTATTCGATGTGGAGCGGAAAATGAGATTGGTTCCGCTCCAACTGCAGACTTAAGAGCGCGTTCAGACTTCGCGATCGCGCGATCGCGCTACTGTGGGTGAAATTACACCGGGAGGGGTCATGTTCGTTCGTGTTCAACTCAACTCAACAAACAACAACAACAAAGTTCTGGGGAGTCGTACTGATATCACCATTTCTCACATCACGATGCTGTATCCTGCCTCCAATAGGCAGTTCCAAAAACGATATAAAAGTAAGTTCGACCTTTTTTGATGTCTTTTAGGCCGTGTTCATATTCGCAATACTGACGATTTGCAGAAACCGTCGAAAGGAAAGGTTGTGTATAGACCTGGGACGGGCAGAACAAACAAAGCAAACACAATGTGACAAAAGTAAAGTGAAACAACATCACCCGCTGTTGAAAGTTCTGCGTGTCTTACTTTTGGAACAAGATGTTCAATACTCCGCTTGAACGTACTCAGATGCAAAATTCAGTATAATAATTAGCATATTGTATATTTAGTACTATTTTACATAGGAAATAATAAATAACTCAAAGATATTTCGAAACGTTCCTTAAAATTAGGAGGGCGTTATGTACACAAAGGAAGAAAGAAGGAAAAGGAAAAAAAGAACAGGAACAATAAACATGAACGAACATGACCCCCTCCCGGTGTAATTTCACCCACAGTAGCGCGATCGCGAAGTCTGAACGCGCTCTTAGATATCACTTTTGACCTGAAATATCATTGGTTTCACAATCACAGCTTTGAGGGCGACCGTTGGGACTTTGGCAAGTGGTTCATAAGCCACAGAAAGATCAGAATGAATAAATTGCTCAAACACTGCCTGACACAAGTCATCATCCTGAAAATGACGATCTTAGTCTTGAATACCACATTGTTTCCTAACGCTAAGAATACGCTTATCGGTTTTTGCCACATGCAATTTAATGGAAATTTGACTGCGAGCATGTAACCATTTCTTTTACATTGACATGCAGGTCCGTAAGGAACCGCATTACCAGCTCCATGACGGCATTCCGAAAGAGAGAGAGCGATCTAAGACTGCGTTCATACTTCGCGAATGCGGAGAGCGAGAGACGGTCAGTATTGCGCTTCAAGAACTGTATTTGATCGATCTCGGAATTTTGCAGTCCTGTGCGACGCCTGAGAATAAGAGACTGCGCACATGGAATGCAGTGCGTCTTTCATACTTGCGGCAATGTTCGTGAATATTTTTAGAAAAAAACGAAAGATATATGTATCGCAGCGTATAGCGTCGCCCAGCGCTTTTTGGCCGATAAATTCCAATACCAGACCTTAGTGGCGATAGGTGTGCGAACCGCCTGAAAACGTGCCGGACCCTCGACATGCTGGACGCTCAACTTGCCCATGCCTAAAACGAAGGCGGGCGCTTGAAATCTGGGCACGCCATCGCGTTGTGATCATTTTCCTGAAAAATACGCCCCCCCCTAGCTCAGATCCTCAAATACTACTCGCCCCCGTTAGCATGACTACCTAACCAGCTTTCCTAGATTTTCCCATTCATCACTTCCTTCATTTTCCAAATGTCCTGTCGTTTTTTGCAAAAATATCCTGTTATTCAGCCAAATTTTCCGTCGAGCGGGGTGGGAGGGCGGGGGGGAGGGAAGGTCGGTCTTCAGGATTTGCTTACATTTTAATTACCGGAAATAGTACTTGTTATAGATCTTCCAGTCCCTCTCCCAAAATGACAAATACGACCCCCCCCCCCTCCCTTTATAGGCGTCCGTGGGACAGAGAAACCACTTGCAAAAATCTTTATTTCCAAACAAAATACAACTCCCCTCACGCGCTGACGCAATCGGAATCCCCCGTTTGTAATCATTACACGCATGGGCGTCCCCTTTGCTTTGAAATGCTGGACGCGATCACCTACACCGTTCTGAATTGCCATTGAAAGGCTCAGGCACGCTGAGAGGACACTTGAAACGCTTTACCGAGAGTCTGTGAACGCTGGGATTGGCAACTGACCGCATGTCAGCTTTCACTAACAAACCGCCGCCACTGCTTTTTGTTCGTAGCTTGCGCGGGTCTCTTCAAATTCGCAAAGTATGAACGCGGCATAACTCATCAAATCAATCACGCTGAAAAGTTGAATCAATGAGGAAGCATAGCGCTGGTAGTAAGCCTCTTTTTAAACACTTCTCCAAGCACTGTTCACAGATATGTAAATTTACAAGTGTCATAACTTCACAGAAACAAAACCGGGAACAATAAACGACATTGTAAATAAATGGACAAAAAATAAAAAGTATACAGACTACAGGAACTACCCTGATTTCTAGAGCTGCCAACGAATACGAGCGAACCTTTCTTCAGTTGGGGCCGCCAGAACGTGGGTGAATGTAATCCACAAATGATGGCTAGAAGCTGCTCATGTAAGCAATCTGTGGGGTCCCAAGGAACGTCATGCGCGATTCAAACGGTCGGCTTATATCCAAGGGAAAAGGGATAATTTAATTTTAGTGCCACCATGTTCAAGTGATAGCTACGCAAACAATAAATCAAAGCAAAGCCTAACAAGACTGATCGAATTCTATACAAAATCGTACTACTCCACATAGTCGAGATCTTCGGGTATTTCTCAAAACTGTTGATGGGAGAACGCTTCTCATCCGATTTCCAACTTTTGATTTGCACCACTTTTGATGAAAAGAGGTTATTCTGGACAGCAAGATTGGTGGCAACCAGCTTCTTAATTATCTCGCGTACAATGAAAGGACTTGCCGCTACCTGATCCACCGCTGTTTTTCGCGCGCTTCGCGTGCCTTTTCTAGTTTGCGCTGCTTTCACGCTGGGCGATGAACCTTCAGATCCGATACTCGGACGTTACTGAGCTAGGCGTTCACCTCAACTCTTTCTCTCATTCTCTGTAGTTCTGGCGCGCGTAGTTCCAGAAGTTGAGTACGTTCTTTCGATTCCTGTGCCAAAAGAAAATTTTTTCAACGACGAAAAGAGAAGTTTTCGGTTTTTATCAAAGCTTTCTTACAGCTTGTTCGCCTGTAGCAATTGCCTTAGGAATCCTGCACCACAGATGGGCATGCATCGTTTTAGCTGCGCGGGAAGCTAGTTTAAGCTCAGGACGATAAGCCTCGCATATTTGCATTTTCGCAGAAACAAGCACTAAAGTTTTTTTCGCTAATGAAAACCGCTCAGACATTCAGCTTCCCATTCAGAAATAAGCACCAGCAATCATGGAGATGACCGTTTACACTGCTGATCCCTGAAACGGAGTAGGCGTGGCATTTGAACATGGTATAGGATGGGTTACTCGTGGGATATTTCGATTTGAGACAACTGTCATCTTGTTCTGTGTTGGACAGAGACATGATTACAGAAAAAAAATCCCAAAACCAAAACTTCCTTACGAAAACTCAGCAGCCGCCTCGTTCAGTCCAAGTACGCGGTCACGCACCTCATCTCAGGGATTTCGAGTGTAATTTCTCGCAAATAATTATTTTAGACTACCAAAGAAATTTACGTTTCTCTCCTGCCTTCCCATCGGAATGAGATCTAATTGTAATGGTACTATTATGAAAGATTCGAGTCTATTGTCTAACGCTCTTGCTACCTAGGTTTCGACAGTATTCAATAAAACCAAAAACTGGTGGCAGCTAGCTGTAAGCAAATCCCAAGACGAGAAGTTTTTCAGATGATTTTTCCTCTGGAAGAAGCAATGGAAGAGCAAAAAAACGAAAGAGAATTGCGACCGTGGCGAAAATTAAGAGTAGAGTAGGCAACCTCTTTCCCTTTCTTCTGTTCCTTCAGTTGTGCAGTGCCGTCCTTGATCTTGGTCTCCAAATCGCGGATTGACTCTTCCAGTTCTTTCAGCTTTCGTTTTCTCTGGAAATGGGAACTTCCTCAATCTCGAAAGCCCTGAATGTGAGTAGAGCATGAACTCACAGTCTGCAGCGCTTTCGATGGAAATGCCCAATAACAAACAAAAGTGCCGATTTTCTCGCATTCAACCAAACCATCATCGACTAGCGATTGAGTAACCTCTTTCACTGATTGAGCTATTACACCTTTCTGTTTCGGTGCAATCTGAAAGTAACTAATAAAGAGATTTTGAATCACAAACTAGAAACTACAGGACTAAAGAACGGGGGTACAACCAACCTTTTCCAACTCTTTCATCTGGAAAAATTCTTGGCTTTCGTAGAACAGCTCCAACATCTTTGCACGCTTCTCTTCCAGGGAAAGTCCTTTCTTTCGTGATGTCTGATATGATACAAAATGAGAAGAACTGTTGGATGGTAAAAATTGGAAAAAGTGCCCACCATGCCTTAGGTTTCTGCGAAGCTTTTCAACAGCTTCTTGTGACGAGAGTTGTTTACGAGGGCCGCGGAAGTACAAAATTCCCTGATTCAATTGATACCTGTCATAAAATGATTTAAATCGCTATACATGAAAACCGAGCGCGCGGTTGCACAGTAAAAAGACGAGGTTCACGGACAATAGGAACTTGATCGCGATAAAGGCGTCATGTTCTGTTTTTCTTTGCACTCTCTCGTCTGTATGCATTTTAAAGTCACTGTGACCTCACAGGTTCCGGCTTTCCACTCATGATAAGTGGCTCACCCACCCCGGGCTCCCTCCCTTCGAAAAACTCATCTCTTAGGTCAGAACATCTACTTTGCACATTTGGGTGCTTTGGTAGCCGTTGTCCTTCGGCTGTCTACGTTACAGGGTTCCGCAGCGGGACCATGCACATAATTTATAGTTGTCACGTACCGTCTTGTTTGTGCGGGTGAAGGGGCGTGCTCGACGGGATGGGTTCTGCGCGGCGCCAACTTTTTCCACTGCTGAAGCGAGTAAGCAACAAGGTGTGTACCGTACCAGCCGTTTTTCCACCATTTGCTGCCGCTTGCCTACTTCAACAACCAGTGGAGAACGGGCTGGCAGTGCGCCAAACCAAACTGACACGCCCCATTACCCGCAGGGAACAAGGCTGCATGGTGCATCCACACCAGGTGCCAGCCCGCTCAATATGACAGTAGCGCTGCGCGTCGACTCCGTCGCCCAAGGCTTAAGCAACTCGTACAGCGATGCTGAAAATAAAGCATTACATTCCCAGTCAAAAAATTGGACACGCCCCTTCTCAGTATCTCTGCGCCTTCCCAACGAGAGAAAGATAAAGTTTGCTCGGTGTTCCCCCGCAACATGCACATGATCGGTCTATGGTTAGAGAGAACCTAAGTCTAGTTTCGCACTGCCTCTCCACCCCAGCATGACGACCGCGGTCATGTCCTTATTAATGGCCTACTCGCTCCCTATGCCGTCCACTGTAAGCGTCCAGTTGGGAAAGCAAAAAATGCTTGGAGCCAATAACGCAGGAGGGGGCATTCAAAGGACTCCTTGGGCAAGACTGGATCTAACCTTATCAGAACGGAGTAACCGCACCTACTGGTTAATCCACCTCTGAGATCCCTACCTTCTTTCGGTAAGGGCAAAAGAATGACCAATAAAGCAAATGTAGTTTTACAGATGTACATTGCTCTCGAGATGCCTCCCATCCCCTTCCCCCGCCCCCTCCATCCCACCAAGCATTGGCGCCATTTGTTCTCGCAAATTTGGTTCGCTTTTTGATGTAAAACGAAGCTAAAGCTTTCACTTCTCACATTTTCATGTCAAAATTATATACAATCAGTGCAGTGCATGCAGATTCACGGCGCGAGATAAGTTGCCACGGTTACTGTACTGGAAAACTCCTTCTGCACAAGTTGCACAATTTTACGCGATGATACACCATGCATTTTGCAACGTTCACGCTCAAGAAGATTCCATCGTGATGTCAGCAGTTGTTTTCGTGATTTGTACTGCTTGCTGTCGTTTTTAAGTTGTCACGTGAAATGTGCCGCTTCATTGATCGTCCTCACTTTTATTTTATCGTTCTGTCGCCATGGCAAACTTCGTTGTTGGGTAATGATTATCTCTTTTTTCAGTGTCCCTTTAGTTTGATTTTTTTCATAGGTTTTTATTGTTTTACAGAAACGCCTTCATGAATACCGCTCCTCAATTGCCGCCAGGCGTGGCTCCTCAGGTATGGACCTTGTTCATTGTTCATTTTTGTTCATTTATGTGGGTGTTTTTTTGGAAGGTATTGACCCCTCTGGCAACGAAAATGCTAGTGAAATTTTGCAACTGTCAAGAGCGAAGCGAGAGATTCTTCTCCTTTCCAATTTTCCTCCGACTTTTTTTGCACCTCTTTAGTGCATGTAGCGAAGCCTAGAGCTGCGTTTATACTTTGCGTCAGCATTCAAAGTGTAAAACACTTTTTGAGCGATTAAGAAAGCGTAGGTATCGATCCGGCGTAGATCAGCGTTTTGTGCGACTAGGAACCTATGGAAACCGATCTAGCGATGTGAGTGTATTCCGGCATTTTGAGCGTTTCACGGGCTTCTGGCGGGCAGCTGCTGACGCAAAGTGTAAACACAGCCCAACTTTCAACTGTTTCTGAATCGGCGGATCGAGGTTTTGGGAAAATGCGCTCCAATGTGTAAAGTAGATGTCGATCTGGCGTCTTGGGAGAGTAGGAGAATAGATAAATAGATTGAGGGGAGGCAGAGGGGGGGGGTAGGATCGGGGAGCCCTCGTTACCCGAAACGTCGATTCTCCTATTCTCATATGCTCTCTTCGCAAAGTATGAACGCGGCGTTACCATTGCGACAACGCAAAATGTTGTCTCAGGTGCTCTGAACCAAAAGGCATACTTTGGCTAGATTACTGCTAAAAGTGGTTCACTATTTGAAGGAGAAATTTGATTCGGCTTCACAGAAGTGGCATAAAGTGACATATAAATGCGTTCCTTCAAGGAAGACACATATACTACGGGGACCGGCGAATGTCAACTGATTTGCTAGTGATGATGGAATAGTGGAGTAACCATAGTGCTTCAATCGTGACAGTTCAATGATTTCCATTTTTAGGGTGCTGCTCAAGCTGAGAATCAGCAGGAACAAGCTCGTCAACAAGCAGAAAATCAAGAAAATGCCTTGAATTCGATACTTTCACAGGTTCGCGAGTAGGTGTGCGTATCAAACGTTCTGCTGGGCTGTTGAATATCGATGCGCTCTAATTGTTTTTGTTTAGATTCTCGACCAACAGGCATTAGTTCGTCTCAGTAACCTCGCAGCCGCAAAGCCTGAAAAAGCTAAAATGGTTGAATCCGCTGTCATAAATATGGCCAAGTAAGTGAAGCTGACTAAGAATTATGAGATTACGATTAGATTAGACTATTCTTCAATTGTCCCTGGGGTTCGTCTCACTGGAGCTACGACCTCTAATTCACGTAGGGTTGAATGGCTACCTTTGGAAGCATGACCCCGTTCAGTTGCTGTGCACACGCCGTCCTTGACAAGGTAAGTCCCCAGCCTAAAGAATGCACCAGTTTTGCTATTTAAAAGCATGATAAGGCCGCTACCGCTCGCGGCGAAGGCAGCG